CCAGTAGGACTCACTCTCATTCAAGTGCCAAACAAACTCCATTGTTAAAACAGACATTTTTACTGCACACTATGGCTCCTCCAGTATTACTTACTATTAAAAAAAAGCATCCCATTCTGCGCTCTCCCTAATCATTCAAGTTCTATGTAAAACAGGTGATCACTATGTCCTCAATCTTACATGGTCCAAAACTAATCAAATGGGGCCACCTACAGAAATCTTGCTATACTCTACCTACAATAATTGGTGCCCTGTGAAAGTCTTGGATCAATACTGCCACTCCTTTGCAGTTTACCCCAGAAAGACTCCACTCCTACCTCTACATTGAAAACCAATTTTGCTAAATTCATGTGGTATGTTAGGACTTTATTGGTTTGATTAGGTTTGGATCCTTCTTCCTTTTCAGGACACTCGTTTATACTCTGTGCAGCTTCTGCTGCGTCTAGCAAGAATGTCCCAGTAATATGGTTAAGAGATTTCCAAGATTTGGCTATATAATGTGTGCATTTCGTAATAAAGTTGTGTTTTCAAAAATAATTTTGCCTTATTTACAGGTCTACCCAATCGTCCCTTCCGGCAAACCACAACCGACTTGTTCATTTAAGTCACGGTCTTTGTCCCTGACCACAAATAAATATTTATATATATATAGTGGATGGTAAATGCATTGTTAAACACAGATATGCATACATCAGACTTCCTTTTCCAACAAAAATCTCATATTTGCAGTGCTGTTACTACTACAAGGGATTCTAAGTGGGCATATGCAAATTAGGCCAACAAAGGACCATCTTTTTGCCTCATTTATTTATGTTTACACATGAATTCCTTGGAGTACATATATGCTGTACACAACAGCTTTGAAATACAACCCAAAGAAATGCAAAGTCAGAAAACCACTCATAGAGTGCTTACTCATTGTTAAGGCAACTAGCCACCTTGATGACAGACGTGTGCTTGAGGCTTTGGGTTACCTGTGGAGCACAAACCCAGACATTTAAGGTGGCATAAAAGGTGATTGAAAAACCCTATAACCTAATAATCAGTGGATAATAAATACAGTGTTATACACATTTGCATACACCAAACAATCCATAAGACTTGCATTTCCCTCAGAAATCTCATATTTTTTTAATAAAATTTATTTATAAAATATTTTACCAGGAAAGATACCTTGAGATTTCACTTGTTTTCAAGTATGTAGTAGATTGGGACTTTGACTTTCTTGCTCAAGTTGAACAATTACATTTGTATTGTGGATAGTTTTCCTTTTAAGCTTATTAGCTATGTTTTTTTTAGCATGTCTTGTAACAAAACCACATGAACTCTTCTTATCGAGAGTTATTGAGAAACCCAAACTAAACTTCACACATAATTATTGATCTGTATTCAACATCATAAAAACCAGCTTTAATTTATTTGCTCAGTGATCTGAACATCTAACATAACGAATTTGCATTCTATTTTCTCACTTATAAATGTTGGTTCCTAATCAGACAGGTAATGTGCTAAGTCGTAACAAGGACAGATGCACAGTTCACGCAAACGCATGACATTGCCAGTCATCATGTGTAAGAACCAGAAGGATCAAACCATGAATGACAGCTGCAAAATCACAATGTAAAGAAACCATTAAGTAGCTTGTAGTTAAAAGATATAAATAATCCTATTAAATAAAGCTGATTACACATTGTAAATAATGCAAACAGTATTAGTAATTAATTAATTAATTAATTTGCAATTAAAATTTAAACAAACTACAAAAGAAAGCTATTTTTCTTTCATTTAATATTTTTCTCATAGTGCAGACATCAACATAGAGCTCCCTCTGGTGGCAGAATAATAATAGTTTTTTTCAGTGCAACTATTTAACTACTGTTGCGACCCCTTGTGGCCATTCGGCATTACTGCACCACATAATCAATATGAACCAGCATCAGTGATCTTAAGGGCTAACATTCTAGCATTGGGAAGACCTCTGGCGGTCATACTATATTATTGCACATCATCAATATTATCAATTAGTTTCAAATAAGGATATCCACTACGTTAGTTTTTTTTATATAGTGACATCAGGACTATTTTGCCTATTATCCACTATGGTACTCTTTGGAAAGTAGATTAGGACTTTGACTTTCTTGCTCAAGTTGAACAATTACATTTGTATTGTGGATAGTTTTCTTTTTAAGCTTACTAGCTATGTTTTTTTAGCATGTCTTGTAACAAAACCACATGAACTCTTCTTATTGAGAAACCCAAACTAAACTTCACACATGATTATTGATCTGTATTCAATATCATAAAAACCAGCTTTAATTTATTTGCTCAGTGATCTGAACATCTAACATAACTAATTTGCATTCTATTTTCTCACTTATAAATGTTGGTTCCTAATCAGACAGGTAATGTGCTAAGTCGTAACAAGGACAGATGCACATTTCACGCAAACGCATGACATTGCCAGTCATCATGTGTAAGAACCAGAAGGATCAAACCATGAATGACAGCTGCAAAATCCCAATGTAAAGAAACCATTAAGTAGCTTGTAGTTAAAACATAAAAATAATCCTATTAAATAAAGCTGATTACACATTGTAAATAATGCAAACAGTATTAGTAATTAATTAATTAATTAATTTGCAATTAAAATTTAAACAAACTACAAAAGAAAGCTATTTTTCTTTCATTTAATATTTTTCTTATAGTGCAGACATCAACATAGAGCTCCCTCTGGTGGCAGAATAATAATAGTTTTTTTTTCAGTGCAACTAGTTAACTACTGTTGCGACCCCTTGTGGCCATTCGGCATTACTGCACCACATAATCAATATGAACCAGCATCAGTGATCTTAAGGGCTAACATTCTAGCATTGGGAAGACCTCTGGCGGGCATACTATATTATTGCACATCATCAATATTATCAATTAGTTTCAAATAAGGATATCCACTACGTTAGTTTTTTTTATATAGTGACATCAGGACTATTTTGCCTATTATCCACTATGGTACTCTTTGGAAAGTAGATTAGGACTTTGACTTTCTTGCTCAAGTTGAACAATTACATTTGTATTGTGGATAGTTTTCTTTTTAAGCTTACTAGCTATGTTTTTTTAGCATGTCTTGTAACAAAACCACATGAACTCTTCTTATTGAGAAACCCAAACTAAACTTCACACATGATTATTGATCTGTATTCAATATCATAAAAAACAACTTTAATTTATTTGCTCAGTGATCTGAACATCTAACATAACTAATTTGCATTCTAGTTTTTTCACTTGTAAATGTTGGTTCCTAATCAGACAGGTAATGTGCTAAGTCGTAACAAGGACAGATGCACAGTTCACGCAAACGCATGACATTGCCAGTCATCATGTGTAAGAACTAGAAGGATCAAACCATGAATGACAGCTGCAAAATCCCAATGTAAAGAAACCATTAAGTAGCTTGTAGTTAAAACATAAAAATAATCCTATTAAATAAAGCTGATTACACATTGTAAATAATGCAAACAGTATTAGTAATTAATTAATTAATTAATTTGCAATTAAAATTTAAACAAACTACAAAAGAAAGCTATTTTTCTTTCATTTAATATTTTTCTGATAGTGCAGACATCAACATAGAGCTCCCTCTGGTGGCAGAATAATAATAGTTTTTTTCAGTGCAATTATTTAACTACTGTTGCGACCCCTTGTGGCCATTCGGCATTACTGCACCACATTATCAATATGAACCAGCATCAGTGATCTTAAGGGCTAACATTCTAGCATTGGGAAGACTCTGGCGGTCATACTATATTATTGCATATCATCAATTCGTTTCAAATAAGGTAATCAGGACTATAATGTCTTGTAATGAAACCTCGCAATCTCTTATCAAGAGTAATTGCATACAATTCAATATCATAAAAAACAGCTTTACTTTATTTGCTTATGGATCTAAACCACTAAGGTAGCTACTTAACATTTTAATTTTTCACTCTTTCTTTGAATATTGGTTCTTAAGCAGATAGGTAATATGCCAGCTCATAACAAGAACAAACATACATTACACGCAAATACATGAAACCCTATCTCCAAGATCATCATATATAAGAACCAGAAGGTGCAAATGGAGAATGAACGCTGTGAAATCCTAATGTAAAGAAACCCTTAAGTAACTCGTGGTTAAAAAAAATATAAATTATCCTATTAAAGGCATCACGTCCCCCCATCCCATCCCACCCCTCCCCTTGGTTAAAAAAAAAAAAGGAGGGGTGGGGAGGGGGGGTAAAAACCCTTTATTCCCTTACCTTAGCCCAGCGCCGATGTCCCTCGGCGCTGGGTCAATGCTCCACCCCCTCTGACGTCACGCAATGAGCGAGCTCTAATGCGCGCATTAGACCTCCCCATAGGAAAGCTTTCAATCAATGCTTTCCTATGGGGAAAAATCTGACGCTGTACGTCCTCATGCAGTTTTGCAGTTAAAATTACAAAGTACAAAAGAAAGCTATTTTTCTTTCATGTAATATATGCACACACTGTAAACTATCACAACTCAAATCTCAGATTTGCAATGGCCACTGACCCTTTTTTTTTCTTATAAGAGTCATAAACACCAGAGCTCTATTACCAACTATGTTCTGTTCAATAATATTTCTCACAATTGCCTCAGGAGTGGCAACAGATGTTTAGTGAGCTATTTTGTTTAGTACTCTCTCTGAACTGCCTCAGTAAGTGTTTTTCCATTCTTCATATTTAACAATATTTTTTCTGGTCCTGCTCTCACAAGAAGTGTTCTTTTGCAGATGGCGTTAGTGCCATTAGTCAATGCAAACCAGAGGTTGTCTGGCTGACTATAGTGTCCCTTTAAGAATCACTATACCAAAATATCCCTTTCTTTTTTTCTGTTAGTCAACATAGAGCCCCCTTTGGTGGCACTTTGATATTTTTTTCAGTACAAATATTTAAGTACTGTAGAGATCCCTTGTGGCCATACAGCATTATGGAACTATATTGTCAATATGAACCAACATCAGTTATCTTTAGGGCTAGGATTCCAAGATTGGGAAGACCTCTGGTGGCCATACTATATTAATGCATTTTACAAACAAAAAACCCCGGCAGGGTCAACTACTAAGCCCTTCATCCTTCCAAGGTCGATAAAATGAGTCCCATCAATTGGATAATAATAACATCTATTACTATCTATTACTATTCAGCTACCGATTTGGTTTATTCCAAGAGCATGTGCTGAAAAACACTTTGAGTCCCACTGGGAGAAAGGTGCTATATAAATACTAGTTATTATTATCATCATTTTTCAGTACTAATATTTAAATACTGTAGCAATCCCTTGTGGCCAGACAGAATTACAGAACCATATTATCAATATGAACCAACATCAGTGATCTTTAGGGCTACGATTCCAAGATTGGGAAGACCTCTGGTGGCCATACTATATTAACCCCTTAAGGACCGAGGACGGTTCAGGACCGTCATCGGCATTTTTGCCTTGCCGACCGATGACGGTCCTGAACCGTCCAAACGGTCTGGGGCTACTTACCTGATCGCCGTCGTTCCCCCGGCGGCGATCAGTGTTCCTCCGGTTGTGGGGAGACTGCCTGCAGCCCAGACAGTCTCCCCACGGCAGATTAGGACCCCTGTGGCCATGTGATCGCTTAACACAGCGATCACATGGTCACAATAGGTGTCCATGTGTCTGCCTGCAGGGGGACTGCCTGTACTGACAGGCAGTCTCCCTGCAACTGTAAAATCAAAAAAAAAATTAAAGTTAATGGTAATAAAAAAAATAATAATAATTATATATGTATAAATATGATATATAGACATATATTATATTTATATAATATATGTCTATATATCATATATATATATGTCATACTAAGTGTATTTTTATATTAATATGTACTTATATTAATATAAAAATACACTTATAATTAAATTACACACGTATATATATAATATATATAATAACTATATATTGTATATATATATTATTATAAAATATAAATAATAAGTAATTTAAATTAAATAATTTTTTTTAAATAATAATAAAATTTAAAAAAAAATTATATAGCTATATGAAATTTTATTCTAACTGTATTTTAAAATTAATATATATATATTTATATCAAAATACACTTAGAATGAATTTGTATATATATCTATGTATATAAAAATAAATAAAAATAATAAGAAATATACATACGTCCATATACAAAATTACATAAATAATTATATAAATATACACGTAGACTTCAAATATATAAATATGCATATATATTTAAATTCTACGTGCGTATTTATGTAATATTTTTGCATAATTCAGTAATTTTATTGATTGCAATTTGAGGGACCTGCCTGCCAACCCAGGCCGAAATTCCAGAGAATTTAATTTGCTAGCACTGTATTTTACCCTGTAACGTTCTACGACACCCTAAAACCTGTACATGGGGGGTACTGTTTTACTCGGGAGACTTCGCTGAACACAAATATTAGTGATTCACAACAGTAAAACATATCACAGCGATGATATTGTCAGTGAAAGTTACTTTTTTTGCATTTTTCACACACAAACAGCACTTTTACTGATGATATAATTGTTGTGATACGTTTTCCAGTTTTTAAACACTAATATTTGTGTTCAGCGATGTCTCCCGAGTAAAACAGTACCCCCCATGTACAGGTTTTATAGCATTTTTGAAAGTTACAAGGTCAAATATATGGGTCAAATATTTTTACATTGAAAATGGCCAGGTTGGTTACGTTGCCTTTGAGAGCGTATGGTAGCCCAGGAATGAGAATTACCCCCATGATGTCATACCATTTGCAAAAGAAGACAACCCAAGGTATTGCAAATGGGGTATGTCCAGTCTTTTTTAGTAACCACTTGGTCACAAACACTGGCCAAAATTAGCGCTCAATTTAGTTTTTTTACTTTTTTCACACACAAACAAATATGAATGCTTACTTTGGCCAGTGTTTTCGACTAAGTGGCTACTAAAAAAAGACTGGACATACCCCATATTGAATACCCTGGGTTGTCTACTTTAAAAAAAAATATGTACATGTGGGGTGTTATTCAGAGATTTATGACAGATAATAGTGTTACAATGTCACTATTGATAAATTTTAAAAATGTATGTTTTGAAACCGCAATATCCTACTTGTACCTATAGCCCTATAACATGCAAAAAAAAGCAAAAAAGCACGTAAACACTAGGTATTTTTAAACTCAGGACAAAATTTTGAATCTATTTAGCAGTTTTTTTCATTCGCTTTTGTAGATGAGTAAAAGATTTTTCAAGTAAAAGTCAAAAAACATGTATTTTTTTCAATTTTTCATCAGATTTTTGTATTTTTTTAAAATTAAAATACATGAGATTATATAAATAATGGTATGTAAAGAAAGCCCATTTTGTCCTGAAAAAAACAATATATAATTTGTATGGGAACAGTAAATGAGAAAGCGGAAAATTACAGCCAAACACAAACACCACAAAAGTGTAAAAATATTCCTGGTCGCAAATGTACAACATCGCAAAAACAGTCCAGTCCTTAAGGGGTTAATGCACTTTACTAAAAATAGCAATTAGTTTCAAAGATAGCGACTACACTAATTTGTTTAATACAGAGTCATCTGGCCTCTTTCATCTATTATTCACCATGACACTCATTGTGAAGTAGATTTGTACTTTGACTCTTACTCAAGTTAAACTGTTAAGTTTCTATTGTGAAAAGGTCTTTTTTTTATCAATTCGTTTATTATAAAAGTTAAATTGTATCTTTAAATAATGCAATGTTTATCAAAATAACTAGTGGTCAATCTGGAGCTAAAAACCCTTGGTCCGCTGTTAGATCAGTCTGACCATTGAGACTCACGCTTTCATAAAAACATTAAAATTTTACTCCCGATCGCATGCTCCCTAGAATATTTGGCTAATAATGAAAAACTTATTTTGGAAATCAAATACAAAAAAAAAAAAAAAAAAGTGCTATTTTAAGAACTATAAAGTGACTTGAATCGTTTGGATAGAGTTAAGTGTTATACAACACTAAACTGAACAATCACATTATTCTGCCTTCCTTCTATTTTAAATCACTTCCTGACATTCAACCGTTTTATTCTGTCGGGTTATGCTGGTTCTTAATCAGACAGGTAATGTGCCAAGTCGTAACAAGGACGGATGCACATTTCACGCAATCGCATGACATACCCAGTCATCATGTGTAAGAACCAGAAGGATCGAATTGTGATTGAAAACTGCGATATCCCAATGTGAAGGACCCCTTAGTTAGCTTGTGGTGATAACAAATAAAGAAGATAATCCTATTAAATAAAGCTGATCAAACATTATAATTAATGAAAACAGTATTGTGTAATTCATGAACGAAATTGTAGTTAAAATTTTAAAAAATACAAAAGATAGCTGTTTTACTTTCCTATAATATATGCACGGACTGCAGCCAATCACAGCGGAGAGATCACACTTGCGACTCTCATAGGCTCTCTTTTTTTTTTTTTTTCAACAAGTGTCGTAAACACCATTTCCAAGTCCGAACACCGGCAGATGTTTAGTGAGTGGCGACAGATGTTTCGCGATCTCTTGTGTTTCGCACTCTCTCTTTGCAGTCTCGGCGTTCTCCACGTTCCATGACGTTGTTTCTGGTCGAACTCTCGCGAGCAGTGTTCTTTTTGCAGATGGCGGCGCAGTGAGTGCTCACGCGTGGTTGAGTTACTGCCGGGTACTCGGTTGATTGATACACGGGTGACGTGGAGCCGCCAGGATGCAGCACGACGATGTGAGCAGAGATATTGGCTGTGTTTAATGTGATCTGATGGGGGACCAGGTTGTGGAGGTTAAATGTAATAAGGTGTCAGAGTAATGTGGACCTGGGGCATCTCTGTAATGTACAGCATGGGGGGGTAAAAAGAGGAGGAGGAGTATAGATCGGGGGAAATAGGTTTTAAATAAATATAACAGACCCTTGGTTGGCTCTCCGTGTAACTATTAATGGTTGGAGCAGAACCTCTCATTTATCAAATATACTCAATAAATTACTGTTTGTGTCAGCACTTCCTTCCCCAGTGCAATGTAGAACTCTCTGAAACAAATAATATTCCTTTCAAAATATTTTCATGAACACGTTTTTCCATTTTATATATATATATTAAAAACTATTATAACAAATTAGCTTTTCAATATTAATCTGTTAACATATTATATAGCAGTTGAAGAGTGGGCCATCAAGATTATGTCTTGTTCATCATATCAAATCTTGTTAAAAAAAGAAAAATAAAGTTTAATGTACTAGTTGTGACTTACATCTTGAACAGTGATATAGAACCGTTTCCTGTGGTGTGTCTCATGTTTAAGAGGCTGATTTACATTAGGTACTTAGGCAGCAAAATGTCTCAGGCTCCATCCAGTGGTCATCTATCAGACTATTTGAGAACGGTTTGATACTCACTTTGCTTTTTGTGTTACTGATCCTTCCACAATGTCATGCCAAATCATAACAGGTTTAGACAGTATTCATTTTATTGAGAGCCATGCGCTGACACTCTCAGCCAAGGAATTTTGTATAAACTTGGTGTGATAAGCAGATGTATGAAATTCTGCCTTACCAGATAAACTGAGTGCAGTGGTAGACAACTTACGGCACTCCAGATGTTGCTCTTGTAGCCAAAATGCTGGCAAAGCATTAAGGAAGATGTAGTCCAAAACATCTGAAGCGCCGAAGGTTGCCTAGCCCTGTCATAGTGGAAGGATTGCAGTCACTCAACACAGCAAGGTTAGCGTCAAACCGTTTGTGAACAGTTTGACATGTCACCGTCAGTCAGTGCTCAGGAACTCCCGGCAACGTGACCACTGCAACATGCAATGGGTCTAGAGTTTATTCAACAAAATATAATCTCTTAGTGACAATGGTTTTAATAGTGTCCTGGGTCTCAAGAGACAGAGGGAGAATACTAATATTGTATGTGGGTCATTATATAGAGATTTGTTACAACATGTGAATTATTAAAAGTTTTTCTTTTTTTCCCTTTCAGGTTATCTGGGATATTGTAGGAAACAAACAGTTTTGCTCCTTCAAAATAAAGTGAGTATTGGCACATGTATGCCTGGGAAAAAAATGTATTGGCAGATTTATGTATCAAGAAAAAGCTGTCATAAAATGTCACAAAGTTTAGTAGGAATATTCCACTTGTTTCCATGATAATTGCGTTTTGTTCTACCACTCACTTGTTAATTTTGTAAATAGTTACCAATAATTGCATTAATTGGTGCTTTAGATTTCAAAGTGACCATATTATGGACAATGGGGAATATACTAGTTCAAGTATCCTTTCACACTTGTATCTGCACAGTAATAAATCTGTATTTGGCATTTAAAAGTGTTTACTAGAATAGTGTGTATAACAACAAAACAAATAGTGTTCATTGCATCATCCAAGTAGAATGAAAGTTTATTTTATAGTCCACTACCAGGTCTTCACTTGCCATCACCAACATTGTTATATGGTTATGAATACAAACAAGAATTCCTAACATAATAATGTTCTCCTCAATAGTTAGTTTCAGGGACCTCTCCCCACTACCCCATTAATTCTATTTAAAAAATTGAAGAAAAAGATTTTGCTCTCCTTTTTATCGAGCACTGTGACTCAATCACTGTTGCTTCCCTGCTCCTTCCCCCACGACATCATCCTGGAGGCATCGCTGTCTGGCTTTTCATCCAATGCTTCTCATGTAGAAACCTTGGGGAAAAGATGGACATGTACAGCAAGCACAGCATTCATCTAGTCAAAGGCTTCTCCTAGAGAAGCTCTGAATCCAGTGCTTCTATATGAACTGCTTCTGATTACAATTGTCAAACTCTGTTAAAAGTGTGGAAGCGCCATTAGTGGATGTGAGGAAGGTTGCCACAAAAGGTGTGTTTAACCCTTAAATCAAAACATTGCCTGTATCTATCTACTAAACAGATTGAAGGGCTAAAATGCAAAGGGCACTCCACCCAGACCGGCTATTTGAGATGAAGTGATCTAGGTGCCTTTAATGTCCTTTTAGAGCAGCTCTGTCACTTTCTGAGTTCTTTGCCACTTGCAGTGAGGTGGCTGGAGGGTGTAAGGTGAGGTCTACTTAACTGGACCTATTACTCATGGCCATCGACTTCCTGCTGGTCCTCTTAAGCTTCTGGTGCTTCATCTGCCTGGAGCTGACGTCAGTGCTGTACTTTCGCACATAATAATAATAATAAATGAAAAAAATGATTTTTTTTCTGTAAACATTAAATACATTGTACTATACATCAGTACAAGTGTTTGTCATGTTTGTGTTATTCCAATTATGTATGAGTGCTTGTCCATAATATGGAAGGGATTTTCCTAATATTGGTCCTAAAAAGATTAAACCTATAAATTTTTCCATTTCTTGTGCATGAGAAGAGTCCTATTGTGGTTTGTTTCATTTTCAGAACAAAGACGCAAAGCTTCTGTCGTAATGAATACAATATTACTGGGCTGTGTAATCGTTCTTCATGTCCACTTGCAAACAGCCAGTATGCTACCATTAAAGAGGAAAAAGGTAAGATAAGCTATATTTACATTGCATGATATCTTAGAAGGTCTCTCTGTCAAATGAGGACTAAATTGTTACTGTCAGTGCAGGGCTTGGCTCACTCTCTGAGAACACTCATCTGACGCTCTTAGTGATTGGGAGAGGACTTAGATCAGTAGAAATAGCAGGAGCTTCTAGTTCTAGAGCTGGCTGTGAGTGGCCGACCAGGAGTTCCCAGGTAAGTTGTTAAGCTATTTGCATATGGTTTGACTACTTGCCCTGGGAGAGTGCACTCCTGGCAGCGTAACTGCAACAGTGTGTTCTAGTGGTTATGGTGCTTGGAGTGTTCCTTTAAAGTTGTTAAAACTAAGTAAGGTACCAGAATCCATATCCTAGCTGGAATTCCATTAGGTTTGTGCTCTGTGTGTATGTAAAGTTATTTCACAGTCCAGCTTTGCTTTTTTTTGAGTGACATAAAGCATCCTAATATTAATCCATAGTTTCCATGCACATAGAAACAAGACTTGTCTGTATAAACCCATAAATACATCATTAGCAGCAACATACATAGATTGCTTATGGGTGAAAATTGATGTGTGATGTGTGTGTAAATAATGGATTTTGGCTTGCATTGTGGTATTGTATATATGTGGTATCATTTTAAATTGTTTGAGAAGCTACTTGTCTTTTCCTTCAGGCTAGAGGCAGTTCACAACAGAGATATCTACCATGTCTTGCCAAGAAAGGCAGGCAAGCAGGCACCTAGAAATGTAAACGTTAAGCCCCGCCTAATACTCCTCCTACTTAAGGTATAAAATCCCAAAATGGCACAGTAACCCTAGAAAATACACAAGCCATATAACTGGAAAAATATATTTATTAAATAGGGAGTGAAATGCGTGCACCACCTCTAACACTAAAAATAAAAGAAATTTAAGATAAGTAAAATTTGATCTTTCTTATGTAATTTAGTTTTCTGTTTTCTTACATAGGCATCTGCTACTTGTATATGAAGACCATAGAAAGAGCCGCTTTTCCAGCTCGATTGTGGGAAAGGGTAAGGGCATGAACAGCAGATAAAAAAAAAATATATATAATTATTTTTTATTATTATTATTTTTTTTTAAACAAACATGAATCAGATGGGCTTTCTGCTCATAATGCAAATTGCATTGTTCTTTTCCTTACAGGTTCGTCTAAGCAAGAATTATGAGCGGGCATTGGAGCAGATCGATGAGAATCTAATATACTGGCCCCGGTTCATCAGACATAAATGTAAACAGAGATTTACCAAGATTACACAGTACCTCATTCGTATCCGTAAACTCACTTTAAAGAGGCAGTAAGTAATTACCTGACCCTTTTTTTTTTTTTTTTTTTAAAGTTAATTTTTTTTATGGGTAGTGGATACAAGGCACATTTGGGCTCCTTTTACTTTGGCTTTTAAAGAAAAAGTCAGCAAAAAAAAGTGTGTTATCAGTCCACATTGCCATGCTAAGTTATAGCTCTCTAGTTTCCTGTAACCAATCTTACCTATTTTGTTCTTTGTACACAGACGTAAATTGGTGCCCTTGAGTAGGAAGGTGGAAAGAAGAGAAAAGAGGAGAGAGGTAATGTTAAGATCCTAAGTTGAAGCTATATAAATTGTAGTAGTGGCTGTGAACTCTGGATTCCTAGGTTAACACGTCTGAAAAGTTGGAGGTGTTAATCTTTTACCGACTCTTTGTGATGTAGTCTGTGTGTTTACAAGTTTGTGATTTTACACTTCATTAAATATGGTTTATCTTATCCCATTAACTCAGGAAAAAGCTCTGGTGGCTGCTCAGTTGGACAATGCAATAGAGAAAGAATTATTGGAACGTCTCAAACAGGGAGCGGTAAGAAAAATAGCTTTACGTGACTTTATCTATTCTGGGGGTAAACTAGGTCTTACTCTTGCACACTGTCCTATCCAGACACTCTTCTGTCTTGTTTTGGGTTTATAGTCATCTACATAATTGGGTAATGGAGATACTCCTGAGGTAGGACCTAAAAATGGAAGAAGTTTGGGACACCTGAAGTCCTCTTATGAGTGATGCTTGGCATCATTAGTTTATTTGGTAGCTTCAACATAGTCAAGAAGCAACAATTGTATTAAAGGAAATAGCTCGGGTTATTTATTTTTTTTGTTTTGTTTTTTTGTAATGTATTTCTCTGACATACTTTCTTTCACAGTATGGAGATATTTATAACTTCCCCATCCAAGCATTTGATAAAGCATTGGAACAGCAGGAAGAGGCTAGTGCCTCAGAGTCTGAAGAAGAAGGGGAGGAGGAGGAAGAGGAGGATGATGATGTAAGTACTGACACCCTGGAAAGTTTAAGCGTGAATATATCATTTCATCATCCTATTTGAGAGTAAATTTTAGTTATAGGGAGCAAATGTCAGAAGGCGCAAGTTCGGTGACCAATACAGGAAGTCACTACAGAAATCAAAGAAAGCAGTGCAAAGCTAGCGTTCACGTACTCTGACTAGAAACAATATTTTTTCCAGATGAATGTTGGTTTTAGTAGTAAAATTGCACATAAGTTTTTGGCAACTACTTAAATAATAGGGCTGAATGTAAGTTTAGTTAAATGTTTGTGTGTTTTTGGAGTGAAAATTCTTCTATCAATAAATCAGAGCAATGTCTTTTCTTGAGTGATGGTGTGAGGTATATGTTAAAAGCAGAGGAGTGGCTGAAACAGGGATTGTCTTGATGAGGTTATTGCTAAGATATTTGTTTCTGATCAAACAGTCCATGGATTTATCACGCAGGCTGCCTATTGTGCTATATTTAACCCCTTAAGGACGGAGCCAAATGTACACAGTGTGAACGAAACAAAACCTGGCATTTGCGCTACATGTCTGTCCAACCGTAATACACCTCTTTCATAGTAAATGCACCCACCCTTATTATATATCATTTTATTCAGGGGAAACAGGGCTTTCATTTAATATCAAATATTTAGCTATGAAACATAATTTAATATGAAAAAATGGGAGAAAATAAGATTTTTTTTTTTTTTTAGTTCTACATGACATTTTAACTGTCAATGTCATAATACTGTTTGCTTTTACTGCAATAAAATACACATATTTGTATTCAGCAAAGTCTCACGTGTAAAACAGTACCCCCTATGTACAGGTTTTATGGCGTTTTGGGAAGTTACAGGGTCAAATATAGCACGTTACATTTGAAATTGAAATTCGCCAGATTGGTTACGTTGCCTTTGAGACTGTATATAGTAGCCGGGAATGAAATTTACACCCATAATGGCATACCATTTGCAATAGTAGACAGCCCAAGGTATTTGCAAATGGGGTATGTCCAGTCTTTTAGTAGCCATTTTGGTCGCACTGGCCAAAAGTTAGCGTTAGTATTTGTTTGTGTGTGAAAAATGCAAAAAACGCCAATTTTGGCCAGTGTTTGTGACTAGTGGCTACTAAAAAAGACTGGACATACCCTGTTTGCAATACCTTGGGTTGTCTACTATTGCAAATGGTATGCCATCATAGGGGTAATTTTCATTCTTGGGCTACCATAGGGTCTCAAAGGCAACGTAACCAATCTGGCGAATTTTAATATGAAAAAAATGAAACGCAAGCCTTATATTTGATGCTGTAACTTTTGAAAACACCATAAAACCTGTACATGAGGGGTACTGTTGTACTCGGGAGACTTCGCTGAACACAAATATTTGTGTTTCAAAGCAGTAAAAAGTATCGCAGCAATAATATTGTTCGTGTAAGTGCTGTTTGTACATGAAAAATGCAAATACATCAATTTTACTGGCGATATCATCGTTGTAATACATTTTACTGTTTTGAAACACTAATATTTGTGTTCAGCGAAGTCTCCCGAGTAGAACAGTACCCCCCATGTACAGGTTTTAATGGTGTCTTGGAAAGTTATAGGGTTAAATATAGTGCTAGTAAATTAAATTCCCTTTACTTTCGGCATGGGTTGTCAGGCAGGTCCCGCTAATTGTAATTAATTAAGATACCTAATTATGTAAAAATATTACATAAATATATATGTAGAATTAATATATGTATATATATATATACGTATGTGAATCTATATGTGTATATATATATATATAAATTTTTTAAAAAATATTTTTATTTATATATAGGTATATATATATAGTGATATATACATATATATTTATGTATGTAGATATATATAATTTCGTTCTACGTGTATTTTGATATAAATATATATATATATATATTAATATCACAATACAGTTAGAACGAAATAACACACATCTATATATTTTTTTATTATTTTTTTAATTTTTTTAATTTTATTTTTTAACATATTTACATATTTAATTTTTTTATATTATATATAAATATATATATAACAATAATTATATATATATTTAATCAGTATCAGTCTACGTGTAATTTGATATTAATATATATATAATTATATATATATATTAATAGTAAAATACACCTAGACAGTGTATGTGTGTGTATGTATATGTGTATATATTTACTTAGATCATATATATATATATATATAGATATATATAAATATATCTAAGTATATATATATTTTTTTTTACACTTTACTTTTTAATTAATTTTATTTTCATTTCATTTCCAGCCAGCAGGGGGACCACCTGTCATTACAGGCAGCCCCCCTGCTGGCAATGCAGGAGGCAGCTACCCCCGGCCATGTGATTGTGGGGTCCTCGCAAGGACCTCACTCTCACATGGCCGGGAGGCACCGGAGAAAGAGGATCTACCGCGGGGGGGCTCCCTGGGAGTCCTCCCCACCGCGATCGCCGGCGTGGGACCGCCGGCGACCGGGTAAGTAAGAAAAGACCGGAGGGCTTACAATTACGCCCGGCGGCGTTTAGAGCCGCCTAAAATAGGGCGTAATTGTACGCCCTCCGGTCTTAAGGGGTTAATCAAACCCATCTTCTCCACAGCACTGGAAATATGAAATGAAATACAATAACAAAACTTCTTTTGAGAGACAAGATAACAATCTAAAATACTGTTTTCTAAGATTAAGTTTAAAGTATGACGGACCGCCGGCACCCCGACCGGGTACCTCCGTCAATCGCTGCTTCCTAGTACTGACAAGTACCATAAGCACTGCACTGGAGCACCATAACCACTGCAAATCCCGCAAACCACTGCAGCTTGGTTTGGGTCTCGCTGTCTCCTACCCATCCCGGACCTACGACAAGGCTCCAGGTTCCAGTGGGTGAACCTCTCTCGCTTCAGAGAGTCAAGCAGGAACAGCTCTTAAAAGAGCTTAGTGATTGTACTCAGGGAAGTATAGTGATTATAGCAATCCCACAGAGTGTAGTTCTCCAATCCCCCAAACATGAGCAAAGACTTCATGAAGGTGCAGTCTATGACATGTCCATGTACAGCACACAATCCCTCCCTCTGCAGAAAAACCACATTTTCACAAAGTTCAGAAAGTACCCCAAAACATAACATTACAACCCCGGATAGCCCTGATCTGGGTGAACAACATATGCAAAAATCACCCAGATCAGAGCAGGGGTTTAAAAGTTTCATGGAAGTCTCTCTTTGATCTATTTCCAATGATAAAAGTGCACTTCAAATAGTCGAACGGGACCGTTTGTGCACAAAATCAGGGTTGAAGTGTGTTCGGTAGATTATTTCTACTGAACGGTGCTCTGTTCGTTCATATTTAGCCAAACATAGATGGAGGTGGAAGTCCCAGCGGTGTTCGTGCATCGAGTGTCCGATTTGAGTTCCATGAACTCGACGGCGACACACTGCTGACCGCATTCAATTAAACAAGATGGCCACCGCCACATGTTGACTATACGAACGGTGACCACCCAGCCGTTCGTCAATTAAGCGCTTGTGAAACTCCCAGCCTGGGGGGTAAATGGGCTGCACACTCCAATTGTGTGTGGTCCGATTGTTCGGTTGTTTGTTCAGTAAACGAACACCATAAATATAATCCATTCGGTAGCCCCATATACCGAACCCCAGAGGTGAAAAGGCATGAACAAAGCCTGTCCACAGTGCTGAAGCCAGGTCTAATCCATTGGCCATAGTCCTGGGGCAAGTGGCTGGCAAACAAGCCCCTCTAAAAACTTGTGGCAAACTCACAGGAAAAGGGGAGTTTGTCACATAAAGGAACACTCCAAACAATAAAAGCAGTTTTATAAATTAACCCTCATATACCCTCCAGGGCAGTGATCACGGGGTTACAGCCAAATACACCTGTAAGAGGCCCAGGTTATCTAGGGGGCTCCGGCTGTATATCCCCAATGAGTGTGTGTTGTGTATATATACAGATGAGAGTCCCTGGACCATTGCCGTCTTGTATAGATTCCATAACTCCAGTTCTGTTATCTCCTGGTTTTTATATCAGTGGAGCTAAAATCAAAAGACAGGCAATTGTTCAGAGTACCTGCCTTGCAAAGGCTTCTCATTGAGCTGCATTGGGAAGTCTGTGATTGGGCAGTCACAGAAAGTGGCGCAATGGAGTTTCCCTTTAGTTTCTCGTCTACTTTTTTGTAAAACAATTTAGAGCGGTTTCTTATATTTATTGTATTTCTTGTTTTTATTTTATGGCCCCAGTATTTAATAGAATAAAGCGGAGGTCTCTCTCGCAAGGTTTTCATTTATATAAGCTGTGGTGGAACAAATACTTCAAATATAAATATATTTCAAATATAATTTAAAAAGGAAAATTGCAATTTCAACACTTTACTGTTTCACTAAACATACAGATCTCCATCTCAATCAATATTTCTCTTTAGCTCACATTGAATTACATGCTCAACTTGATCAATGCATGGTGAGCGGAAAGGAATGTTGTAACTAATCATTTACCTGTCAGAAATGTTTTGAATTCTGATGAGGTGATCATTGTATCATTATCTGATACATCAATATGCGGTGCTCCTTGTGTAGCATACAGGCTGCTTATAGTATACTTGTCATCCGAAAACGAAGATTGTATGGCGCCAAATACAAGCACAATATCGCGAAGAGCTGCAAGGAGATGGAGAGAGACAGTCGATTGGCTGAGAGAGCAAGAACACAGAGAAGAAAATCAGGAGCAGCCCTATTTAAAGGAATGGGGAAGGGAAGTGGGTATGACGTTTTATTGTTACTGATTGGTTGTCATATCATTGTAGTTGTACTAAGATTGGTCCCTGAGGAAGTTTCCACAGAAACGAAACGCGTAGGACCGGAGATCATTTATTGTTTTTATATATTTTCTCTTATTTTAAAATGCCAATAAACCAGTTTTCTTCAACCTACCTGGTTCCTGATTTCAATCCGGAGGGCCATGGGCCAATAGAGGATCTCCATATGGGGAAGGCAACTTTAAGGGGCTATACTGCTTGGAGTCTGTGAGTTCCACATTAAGTGGGGGCACTGTTTTCATTAGTTTACAGTGTTGCACTATTATTTGTTATTCTTCTGTTTCTAGATATCCAGCTGTATCCCATTTTCTGTATTTACTCTGTCTGTAAAACGTCACCAACAGGGAAGGCTGTCTACATAAGCTAAGTAGCTTTATTCTTAAATTACACTTTTGAATTAAGTGGATATATTCGATATTTTCTTTTTTGTTTTCCTTACCTTAATATTTTTTTCTGGGAGAGGTGCCAATGTGGTACTATAATGGCAGCACTCATATTTTCTTTAAAACAACAGTCCTACTACAATGATTTTGTACTTCTATGAACTGCAATCTGTCTCCTACCGGGGCACCATAAATTTGGGCTCATCGTGTTCCCTTACTCACAGTCATGTGCGTGAAAGCTGATTCAGAGGAAGTCCCTATCAGTTTGGCACAGCCAAATGAGTTTTATGACTTGAAATGCTATGTTAATGTGATGTATCCCTAATGTCAGGTCATGGAGGAAGATGAAGGACGACATATTGTATGTTCTTTGCCTTTTTAAAAATCTTTTCTTCTTACCTGACCTTACACAATCTAATCGCATATCTTATGCTGATGATTATATCAAACCCCGCACAGATGTCTTCCAACATACCCAGGTAAATCTGTAAGAGATCCAAACCACTTATAAAGATAATGTCACATGTCCCATTCCTTTACTTCACAGAGCATGGTCTGTCAAAAAGTTTGTTTGTTCACAAAACAATATCCAAAGAACTTGGGTGCCAAATGGATGGGTTCCTTTTCCATGGTGCCGTGACTGTACAACTACCTGTCAGATATTGAATGCAATTTTTTCTGTTAAAACCTTTAATCAACTATCTGTTTCACAGTTACATGGCCACATTTACTGGTCCACTCCTGATGTATTTCTTCAAAGAATGTGAAGTACAACAAGATTGTTGACTTCCATTGGTGACGAGGTGATCTTGACTATCTAATCCACTGGTATCTAATCCACTTTGTCCTTTATCTCAGACAGCACTCCCTAGCCATTTTCTCTTGTAGGCGAATGTCTCTAATGGATAATGGATGTCCTGAATGCATGCTTCATGTGCACAACTGTATTTTGGTGCAGTTGAAAGACTGGAATACTACAAAAAAAGTTTGTAACAGAAAACTAAATCCACTTATTTCATGGTGTCCTACTATGTTTTTTCTTTGCCCTCTAGTGCTTATCTTGATATACCGAAGACTACATTGACATTGGCATATCTAATTTTATGATACCCTCTCTGTTCCCATTAACCTGACTAGTTCTCTTACTTTCCCTGCTCTCTCTAATCCTTAATAAAGGTATTTTGTTGTTTTGTAATTCCCTTGACTTTAGCTTTAGCTCTTGAGTACTACTTTTTGCCTAATTTCCTCCTTTAGATCATTAAGCCCAACTATTCTAATTTGCAGTAATATGGTCTGCCAGTATCCTTCTAATTCCCGATTTCTGACCTATTATAAGTGTGTTTGATTTTGTAACTCATCATTGACATCTCGGAAGAATATGGGCCCATGAAATAGAAGTCTGCCGCAAATATGCTTTGCTTCTTACATGTCTACCTTAATTTTCCACCCCTGGGGCACATCAGAAGTCTGTGTCATGGTGGTGTTTGTCTCTTCTGGCGATTCTCTTATTCTACTTTCTTCTATGTTTGACCTCGACCTGCAAACTCATATATGAACATGTGCTGTCGACGTACCTGTCTTATGTTTCTCGACTACATGTTGGTAATTGTGCATTTGTACCTCCCTATCAATTATTGTTGATCATAACTAATTATCTATTAACTTCATTTTGACTGCCAAAGGTAACTGTTCTTCAGCTACATATATGACTGTTCTAGTAATTCTCATGGAGAGCATTTAAAACGCTAGCTTGGCTCTATTAAGAATTATTATTCTGAGCTGACATAATAGACAACCTGTATTAGCAGGTAACTCTTGCCAGAAAATTCAAACGCTCTGCACTATTCTTCCCCTCTGGACTTCGGCACACCCCTCCCTACCCAATTCAGTATTGAAGCCAAAACTAGGATCTTGGCAGTCATTTAATCAATGTCACTTTCTTATAAAAGGAAGTTTGGAACAGAACCTAGGCAGCCATAAAGGAATGCAATTTAGTGCATCAGTGGGAGGATTAAGAGGTATTCTATGGTACTAATATTGCTAGCTGTTGAACCATTTCCTAACAATGAAAGCAAGGCTCTGCAGAGTAACCTGGCAAATCGAAAATCTTATTTCACACTGGAAAAGTGAATCTAGAACGTGATGTCTGTTAAAAAGAATGGGAATTCTAAAGTAAGTAACCCTTACACTAATAACTTGCTCTAACCTAAATGTTCATAAACATAACCGTAATCGCTATAGCCAGTGACTGATTACTACCCTAACATCTGAAACCATAAATCTCAAGCTTCTATTTGAAATGTATAATCCTAACTAAAGTACCATTAACCATAGCACCTCGTTCTACCATTCCTAAAGTCTAAACATAATGTCTAATTAAAATTCCCTAATCAGAATAGTTAAAAGGACACTTTAAGCACCAAAAGAACTTTAGCTTAATGGATTGGTTTTCGCTTACATTTAGGAGTTAAATCCCTTTGTTTATGTAGTCCTAGTCACACCTCTCTGCATGTGACATGCACAGCCTTCCTAAACACTTCCTGTAAAGTGAGATCTAATGTTTAAATGTCCTTCATTGCACAGTCTAATTCAACATTTCTTATCTAATGCTCTAATAATAGCCTTCTGGACCCTCCAGGAGGCTCCTGTGTGTGATCACAGTTCAATTTACCGAGCAGGAGATAAAAACTTCTAAAACAAGTTAACATCTGATTGAAAATACAACAATTTTTTTCATGTAGGCTTTGCCAGTCACAGCCAGGGGAGGTGCAGGGACATGATCTATACACCAAAACTGCTTCATTAAGCTGAAGTTGCTTTCATTTCTATAGTGTCCCTTTAAAGAGAAAATGTCACTTCCCAGGAATTTTAATATGTGGTGTACATCACAAGTGTGAAATATAAAATAAAAGTAGAAACCTACATCTCTTTATCCTGTGATTTGTTGCCTCCATCCGCTCCCTGTTAGTCATTGTTATAAACTCTGAAAAAATAGGAATTGGAGGCAAACTCCGTCCTTTGCACCTGGCAGTAAGCTTAGATAAAGTATTTGTTTTTCCCTCTTCATTTGCATTGTTTGCCCTGACTTTACTTTGTCTGAACTGGTGATGTAATTCCTAATAAACTTGTCCAAGGCTATATGGCAGCATCACATTGGTGGCTTTAAAACAGAAACAAAATTCTGTAGTAAAGTCCCCAGATATGTAGTTTCTAGTGATATCACTGAGCATTACACTTACATTTTTAAATACGGTGGCTGGCAGCCAGTCACCCCAGGTCACATACCTACATTGACTTTTGGCAATCTTGTTCCTATTTGCATAAATTACGCAAAATATTACCTTAAACTGTTCCTTTGGTTCGGCACAATTATGAAAAAAGAGGATACATGCCATTAAAAGAAAAATCAATGATAATGGTTAATGTAACTGTATCCCATAATATAAAAATAAAAAATACCACTATTTTATAGGGTATACACCCACTCGCTTCACCCTTTTGTGCCTGGTTTGAAAGTTGGCGTTTTGTACACATTATATTACAATGGCACTGTACATAAAGTTCAGCAAACATGTTTCAACAAAATTAAGCCATCCTCGGGCGTACGTTCAATAAAACATTTCTTTTTTATTTATTTTTAAAGTTTCCTCCAGGGCTTTTTCTTTGAAAAAAAAAGAAAAAAGTATGTTTTCCTGATTTATTAGCTGTTGAGAAATGTTTGCATAAAATATGTTTTATAGTCAACATCTGGTATTATAGGTACCAGTGTATGTTCATTCCTTACCCATAAAGCATTGCACTAACCCCACATACATAGACTGTCTTACCTCATTCCAACTTTGTAAGGGTTGGGTAATGGGTTAGCCGTTCCCAATGTGGTATGATATACAAAAATACATGTTTTGTCTGTCTGGATAGTATCATCTTGAAAGACAGAATGTGGTGGGTAAGGTGAAGTTCCACTCAGGACCAAACAAAACTACAACATTAGTAAGTGTAAGGGTTTCCAGTGCAACAGGCATTTTTTTCAAGAATATGTATACGCACAGATATTTATACACATACACACATTGTTAACACATAGCTTTATGTTTAAGTTCTATTTTTACCTGAAACACATGGGATTCTACCTGTTATGATCTATACTTAACAAGGTTATTTATCAAAGTGTGAACTGTCCAGAGTGGATCAATATTAAAGGGAAACTCCACTGCCCAAATACAAAAAAAAATACAAAATGTTGCTCAGTAGATATACCCCAAATGACAGCACACATGCATCTAAATATGCATTTTTTTCATTGGAATCAATATTTAAAAACAGCTTGCAACACCTGAACTTCTCTTGCCTGCTACTTTTGCAAGCCCTCTCATTCTAACCCCGTCCAGATTTTCTGTGGCTGTCCAATCATAGACTTCCCAAAGCAACTCAATGAGAAGTCCTTGCAATGCAGGAGCTCTAAGCAATTTCTGCATCTTGACTTTGGCTCCACTGAGCTAAACAAACCAGGAAGTAACAGGACCTGTTGT